CATTTCTAAAGAATGCTTTCAGCACCTTGTTGAATCAATGCCACGTAGAATTAAGGCAGTTCTGAAGGCGAGAGGGGGTCAAACACCGTATTAGTATGGTGTTCCTAATAATCCTTTAGGTGAGTGTATATCTTCTGATTAACCAAGAAAATAAACACCATATTCTCTCACTTTCTATACACATCATTTAAAGGAAGAGCATAGGGCCAAGAACGGATCCTAGGAGGACAAATGCTGGTCTTTTAAAATTTATATTCACCCCAGACCAGCAAACCATACAGGCCAACCAAATGCTTCAGAGTATTTATACTGTCACCAAGATTGAAAACTGTATTCTTATAACTCAAAACTGTAATAATGACATAGTAATAAGGGTAATAGATGGCATTTATTCCATGAGATCTTATCAAATTAGTTCTAGTAGTGTGGAAAATCACGAGTTATTTGATCATATTTTCCTACCAGCATGCTGTTACACTAGCTTTACATGGTTCGCACCGTGCCTTTCTCCCTTACTTGTGGTCTGTCTTCTGCACTTTGTGACCTTCGATATGGACTGACTGGCTGTGTTTCATATGGCACCATCAGGTTTGTTAGGTCTAAGTAAAAACAGTTTTCTAGAAAAAACATTGGGATGTGTCCTTGGCTGTAGAAACTAAGAACATCTTTGTGGAGAGCCCAAGATGGTTTGGGACATTAAAATGAACCTCTACAGTTTTCACAGATCTGAGAACACGCATCTTTCCATTTTCTTTTGTTTCATATTTCTATTGTTTCCATCTATTATATGTTGAAATTGATCGCAATGGAATTCATCAGTTAGTCATTTTCAGAAAAACCCAACACTAGCTAATAAAAACGAATTTTCACCTCTATCGGTAGCTGAACATACTGCTGCGCTTATAGCTCATATTCTAGATATATATACCCATTTGGCTGTTCAGTTTGAAAGAATATAACATTTTTCAGAATATTTCAGGTAACAAAACGAGCTTACAATATATTTCACTTAACTGGGTGCTTTTTAGAAATACCATCTAGAGCTGGGCGAAATAGCAGAATATCGCATCGTCGACGAACGGTACCCTGCCAAAGGAGCTGATGCTGATTTCTGGGTGTTGTGTCGTTCATGGCACCTGTATGTCACTGTATACAGTGCTGTGTAAAAAAAAAAACAAGTTCCCGACCGTGCCCCTTGACTCAGTAATTCTGTATACAGCATGTTTATACCATCCATCCATGCACCTATTTTCTAACTGCTTTTCGCGGTCGCCGTTGTGCTTTCACCCGAATGAATTCAGACTCACTTCTCGCACGTTTCCTTATAGCGCTCCAACTCGCTCCTCTCGGTAAACTCCGGAAGGCATCGGCGGGGGTGGCGACTCGGCGTAATGAGTCAGGCGGACCGGCCGCTCATTGGTCGGCGAACGGAGTTCGGCCCCGGGCTGCATCACGTAAACATTCCCTTCGACGAGTGCAGGAAGGCAGTTTGTGTCATAGCTGTCTGAAATTTAATGTGTGGGGAAAGGACACTAAGGTAATCGGGGAGAAAGGTGGGATATCCTGTTTAATTTGTCTTGTTTCGGCCGCTTTAGATACTTTCTCAGGGTCCAGGTGTCTCGTGACCTGTCGGCTAAACTAGCGATGTAAGCATACAGCTACCTGGATAAAAGCCGTGTTTTAAACCACGCAGTCGCGCTTTTCCATTAGATCAGCCAGGACAGGGAAACTCTGCGTTCCCGCTGACGGAGCGGGGTGACCTGTAGCTCTACTAGTGAAGCCGCTCGTTGGGCTCAGCCCCCCGCCCCCCAGGCCCCACGCCACGCCTCGGCGTTTCGTCAGGACGCGAGACCGTGGAGACTGCGCCGCACGGGGGCTCGGGGATAGCTCAGTGCGAGCGGGGGCTCGATCGCGTCGGGAGCGGGCCGGCCGAGCGCTTTGCGTAGAAAGCCGGGCATTGTGGTGGCAGCTGCTCGGCTGCCGTGCTTCGGACTAACGCGTCTTTGTCGTCGTTCTGTCTCTGAATGTCAGTGCTCCCTCCTTGGCTCCGGTAAGCCTCCGCTGCCTCGCTCGTTTATCCGGTGTGAGAAAATCTGCGTCTCGCTGTTGATTACTGGTTTTAGTGACATCAACTGGTTTGTTTATTTGCTATTCTGGTTAATGTGTGCGGTAGAAACCCTAGATCGTAGTGTGATATAGATACTATGGTATCAAGTGCTCAAGGAAACGTAGAATCTGAAACCCTCCGTTTAAACGCCTCGTTGGGAATTATTTTTGTCGCCGTTTGTCAGATGATTAATTACCTTCAATAGGATATATTATGGATTATTACTATTCTGGTAGTGTTCTTACGTGTCACGGGTTTGCTACTCGGGCGAATTGTGTGGCTGAGGACTCAAAAGCAAAATCGCTGCCTTTTACATTTCATTTTTTTCAAACGCTATAAACTTCTAGGTCTGACAGATGCGTTTTTGCATTACAGCATCAAAGCTCAGCTCCTGTCTTTAGAGGTCCATTTATGAAGCTGTTACAGAAAGCACTTAAAAGCACTGGTCATTTGGTGGTGCTCTTCTTCAGCGCCGCATAGCTTATACGGCTCCTGCGAAGATAAATGTATTCCAAATGTGTTGCCGGAGCGTCGCCTGAATTCAGATGAAGGCTATATTCAACTCACTTTTCTTGTCTTGTGTGTGTCTCCCCTCCCCTCCCTTCTCCACTCCTCTCCTCGCACAGCATCGCATCTATGACCTCCTTCTCAGACTGGATCGAGTATGTACCCCCCTGCGAGAAAAGACTTCGTCTCCCTAACCGTCCCTGAGCAGGATAGGGGCAGTTACAACAACAGCAAGCAGTGGCGTAGGCAGTCCTGCTGGAGGGTGAGTTTGCCTATTTTTGTGGCCAACAGCCTGGGATCTCATCTGAACACCAGCCTTAAGTGCTCAATTATTTCCGTCGGACGCATCCTGGTTGTGATGGTGTCGTAATCAGATTAATGTTAAATCTTAAATCCCTGTCATTAACTGTGTGTTTGTAGTTTATTAGTGATTACCAGCGGTGCAGCAGGTTGTACTGTCGAATCCCACTCCAGGCTCTCTCTATGTATATGTCCCATGACCATCTTCCCAAGTGTTAGGAGGATGGCTGGAGGTTTAGTTTAGCTTTTGTTGAGGTTAAATGAATGATTTTGCTAGTAGCTTTCTTTTTCCGTCGGCCTTGCTCAGCCAGCGAGTGCATGACGACTCTCGTCACGCGACACTACGCAGATAGGCCACAAGGACGCTACGTAGGTCCGAGGCATCGTGTGTGTCTTCAGCTCCAGCCCCGTGTGCCGTAACCCACCTGTCACAAGCAGCTGGGGGTGCTTGTTGCATCTTTCATTCTTTGTACCCTGGATGGGATACTAATCAAGGGCAGGACACATATTTTTACACGATTGGGGGCAATTTAATGATATAAAGTATAATAGTCAATGCATTTAGACTGCAGGAGCAATCTGCATTTACATGCATGACACAGGGTGAGCATGAAAACTCCGCATGCAGAGTGTAGGTGTGATTCTAACTCCCAGCCTGGAGGTGTGAGCCTACAGCGCAAGCCACTGAGCCACAGTGGCACTCAGAATAAAATCATTGTAAATAAGGTGGTATAATTTGGTTGTCCTTCACTGCTGTTTTTCTCCCTGGTATTTTTGGTTTAATGTCTGTAGCTTCTCTTGATTTCTGCTTAAAGTCTGAAAAGGCCTCATGCTTGTGGGATATGTCAAGAAAGTATCCATAATGACTTTTTCTGCATTACGCGCTCCTGTCAGATGTTTGACGAGCTAAGAGGATCTGGCGGCGTTGCCGCAGTCGCTGTAGCGCATAGAGATGTTCCATGTTTATTTTTTTTGTGTGTCTGTCCACAACCTAGAAATGGAAGCAGCTTTCCAGGTTGCAGCGCAGTCTTATTCTCTTCCTGCTGGTGCTGCTGCTGGTCTGTGCCATCGCCACGTACCCCACCCTGCTGGAGCACTGGGCAGGTATGCTTGTTCACCTACATGAGGTGCACGTAGTTCCCTTCTGAGAAAGTCACCCCAGAGAAAATACACAACCAACTCAGGAATTGGTGGCACTCTGTATGAAATAAATGATGTATCAAATAAACTATACAGATGGTGATTCGAATGATGAATAAAGCACAATTATCGAGTGGTACTTTTTTCTCACTGCAAAACAATTCCATACAGAATATCTAAAATCAAACAAAGAGGCCTCTTATGGAATTGTACTCTTTTTAATCAACTGCTTTTCAGTATTTTGTTTCCCTGAGGTATAAATATGAGGCTGCATGACTGTAAAATCCCTGTCATTGAATGCCGTGCGGATGCCAAAGATCTCTCAACTGAAATGAGATGGTCAGGTCTGGTAACAGATATTTTAAAATATATAAACAGTTGTACATGCCATAAAGCAGGGAGATAATCAAAACGTCTGGGACAGCTGCAGATTTGGCATGAAGAAAAGGCATGTGTGCAAACACCGTAAGGTGAAGAGGAATCCAAGGATCAGGGTTTCAGAACAGCACAATTTAGTGGAATTATGGGGTTATCGAGTTTCTCACCCAGCCCCAGGTCAACAGGCTCTTCGGCAAGGTCGCACAAAAGAGGTCTTTTCTGAGCCCTACTCACTAATTGCAGCGCCTGGACTTCACCGGGCATCATGGGAACTACAATTTGAATTGTAGTTTTAATGAGAGCAAACTCATTGGCGATGTGCAGTGTCTGCATGTTTGGTGTCTAAAGAAGACTGTGTACAAGGGAAAGCACCCAACAGACACAGGAAAATATGGAGGTGCATCATTAATACGTTAGGGGTGTTCTCTTGTTAGTGGTTAAGGGCATAATGAATTCTACTAAGTACGAGGATATTTTAGCCTAAAACCTGTTTACCTGTGCCCAGAGGTTGAGACTTGGCTGTACATTGACCTTTTAACACAAATCAGCTCAGAAATAAATTATTTGAAGAGAGACTCCCCAGAAGAGCAAATTTCATAATACCAAGGATGGTGAAGATCCCTCAGTATGTGTGCTGCATAGTTTACAGGAAGAGGCTCAGTGCAGAGGCTCAGTGCAGAGGCTCAGTGCAGTTGTCCTCGCTGATTATTAAATGGATGGGTGCCAATAATTTTGAAGCCTTTGTTTTACAGGAAAAAATGCAACACTCATTGGGAAACAGTGTTAACAGTATATTGCTTCCCTTTGTACTTGAGTAGAACAGTTTAATTATGACGACTGTCGTTTATTTTATGCGATCATTTATTTTCATGAAGGCTATTAGTAATTTGTTCACAAACTGCATGGGGTTTATAAGTAAATGTAGTTTTTAACATTAAGTTAAGACAACTGAATAATGTTTTCTGATGTTTTTAATGTCTGTTGGGTAGGGGAAGGGGGGCAGTGACTGAACTGTGTGTGTGTGTTCAGGGCAGTGACTGAACTGTGTGTGTGTTCAGGTCCTTCTGGGGAGGTCAGTAAGAAGGAGTGGCACAAAGACGACGCCGACACCCTTCTGAAAAATGTGTTGCCAGGGGCCCCTCCAGGTGCTGGCCAGCAGGACAGCCCCCCGCCTGATAAGCAACATGCCCCCATCCTGCCTGAACCCCCCCCTGTGGTTGGTCCAGCCCCGTCGCTCGTCCTCTGCCCCGCACCTCTGCAATACTGCAAGACGTTACTCGCATAGATTTTCCTGCACAGCAGCCTACAGTATACACTCGCCCTCCGAATTCTGTTGTCTCAACGTGTCTCTCCCCCCCCAAAGCAGAAAAAAGCAATCAATAGACGGGGACCCCCCAGCTTACAGAACTATTCTCGGAAGAAAAAAGAAAATGTCTCCGACTCCCAGGTGGAGGAGAAGCTGGACCCAGCGCTGGGGAGCAGGGACCAGGTGGAGGGAGAGAAGCCAGTTATCAGGTTAGATTGAACATGCAGTTTCATTTCCGTGCTTTAAGACACTTGATAGGTTTTTTTCCCAGAATCCTCGGGGACGCCTCTCCATGTTATAAAGTGGGATCTGTAAATACCCATATGGGCCTCAACTGAAAATTTGACATGGATCATATAGTGTCCGAGTGCTTTATGAATCCCCGTTGAGAGGGGAAGGTAAGCTGGTGGTCTTTGTAAGAGCCTTAAGCCCTTTCCCCAGTTAAAGTTGGTATATGCTTGAAGCAGTCCTGTAATTCCCCAAACACACAGTTGCCATGTTTGCCGTCATGTGTCTGTGTAGCTGGCGAGGGGCTATGATTGAGGCAGAGCAAGCAACTGAACCCCAGCCCTCTGCCAGGGAGAAAGAGAGGGCAGATGGGAAGGAGCACCTTGAGCTGGCCAGGCCGGTGAACACGGGGAACACGGAGAACCAGGAGCCAGGTCTGTGTGCTCTGCCATCTCTGCCTATATGTATGTGAGGCATGTAGATGGATAAAAAATACATGACAATCCTTTGCCCTTTTTAATTAGTCAGTAGTATTCTGGGTCATTGGTTCCCGAGGCTCCGTATGCAAGTGTTTTTTGTGCGCGTGTCGCTTCAGGAGGTACGACAGGCCGTCTTGAGGCTGTGAGAGAGGCCTTCAGACACGCCTGGAAGGGCTACAAGGAGTTTGCTTGGGGTCATGATGAGCTGAAGCCCATCTCCAAGTCTTATGGGGAGTGGTTTGGACTGGGCCTGACTCTGATTGATGCTCTGGACACCATGTGGATCCTGGGCTTAAAAGAAGGTAATTCCTGAGTACTCAAGTAGACCTGTTTATCATGGCAGTAAATAAGATGTATGTTACATTTACTATGGTGGGATTTGATTAAGGTGTTGACAGTCTATTCTCACTTTAAGATGGCTTTGTATTCCATTTAAGAATTTGAAGAGGCTAAAACCTGGGTAGCGACAGAACTGTCTTTCGACAAGAATGTGGATGTCAACCTGTTTGAGAGCACCATCCGGATCATAGGAGGCCTGCTCAGCACCTACCACCTGACTGGTGACGGCATGTTCTTGGAAAAAGCCGTGAGTCTCCCCTTAGTCCGTACTTCAAGCCTTGATGAGGAATTGTTCAGTAAGGAAGGTTATTGAGATGACCATCTCAGAATTCTCTACGCCCTACAGAAGGACTTAGGATCCCGGTTGATGCCTGCCTTCAACACCGCTTCCAAGATCCCCTTCTCGGATGTGAACATCGGCAAGGGCACGGCACACGCCCCTCGCTGGACGTCCGACAGCACCGTGGCCGAGGTGACCAGCATTCAGCTGGAATTCCGCGAGCTGAGCCGGCTGACCCAGGATGAGCATTACCAGGTAAGTGTCCTCAGTGTTCCATTGAATACAGAAACGCCCTGCCGTCCATATGCAAATATTCTGCATTCACCGGTGTTCTGCCTGGCCCTGCATCCGCCGGAGGCTGAATGTACGGACGATAGGCTGGAGGCCTCGGCCCCCGTAGGCTTCCCTGAACCTCTGTGCCTCATCTTCTCCTGGCTAGAAGGTGGTGAACGAAGTGATGAGGCTGGTGCACAAGCTGGAGGGCAAGCAGGACGGTCTGGTGCCAATGTTCATCAACACTAACAGCGGTCAGTTCACGCACCTGGGCGTGTTCACGTTGGGCGCACGCGCCGACAGCTACTACGAATACCTGCTTAAGCAGTGGATCCAGGGAGGCAAGAAGGAGACTGAGTGAGTGAACTGAGCATAGAGCGCCCCCTTTCTTTCTCATGGCATCACTGCTGCTGTTTGTGTCATGCCACCTGCATTAATTAGTCTCCACTTGGGCTTCTTTTTAACATGTATTCGTTACTTTTGGCTTTATTGTCTTTTAATGTCCCTTTTTTATTTAACTACTAGTAAGACTTTTCTGTAGTTTTTGTGTCTGTTAAAATAAGAGGATTAAGCCCAGGATTATCCTAAATGTTTACTGTAATCTGCTATAATTTTGCATTAATCCAGTTTTAATTGTTTTCTTGAATTCAGTCAAATACAATGTATCTAACTGAATATCCATGAGGTTCCTCTTTGCATATAAAAGTGTGATACCCATTAGATTGCTAATGTTTCTGGCTGCCAAGTTAGTTTGCTGTGGTCTCTGTGGAATAGAGTCAGATTCTACGCAGTCTTGTGAGAACAGTAATCCTGTGTATCAATACAGCGCTTTCATTTCTCTGTATAAAATAAGTCGTGCCAGCTGTCAGCATTAGGATTCGGTCACAGCTGGATAGTCGCGGTTTCCTGTGCAAATGCGAGGTGCTCCCACCTAGTGAATAATGGATAAAGTAAAAGCCAGAAACAAGTTGAATCCGGTCTTGGATGTACACATTCAGTTCAGGACTCTGTCTCTGCTAGAGGCACATACCACACTTACCACAGACAAATGAATAGTCCTGGTTCATTCCTGGAATAGACATACAGTAGAGGTGTCAGATTAACACAATATGACCCTGAACTGGAAAAACATGGAAGAATGACTGTTATGGGGGAGGGGAGGGGGGTTAGCATCCGGGCATTTCCCATAATGCACCTTGTGCGTGTGCTCTCAGGCTGCTGGAAGATTACGTGCAGGCAGTGGAAGGCGTGAAGAAGAACCTCCTTAGGAAGTCCTCTCCCCGGAGCCTCACCTTCGTGGGGGAGCTGTCCCACGGTCACTTCAGCCCCAAAATGGTCAGTGCGAGCGTGGCTAAGATACCCACTCTGCGCCGGGAGACTGGCAGGCAGCTGGCAGTTCCGCTAAGAAAACCTCTCCGCGTTTTACGCTGGGATACAGCCTGCAAAGAACATCGGTGTGACAATAACAGCTTGGGCTACTTTATATTTATAGTGCTAGAAAGGAGGTCTGCGCCCGGCATTATCCCAGAAGCTAGCTACCATATTCTTCCCGTTATAGTGCAGCAGCAATCACACAGTGTAACTCTGTATCTCGAAACCAAGCTCATTTGTGTTTGCATAGAATAGAATAGTGATGCTTTGTATAGTCACATAGATACATTGTTACATAGTGGCTCAGCTCATTAAGAGTTGGTTCTGGATAGTTTGCAGTCTTCATGTTATGAACAAGATCCAGCAAGTCTGTCTTAAAGTCTTATTTGTAGGTAGGTCAGGGAAAGATAATATGGTGCATAATAATAATTATATAGTATAGTAAAAATAAAAGCTATATGTGGTACTGTACTGTGCCTCGAACTGACAGACTGCTGAAGCAGCACATTGTTTTCAGGATCGTCGTTAAGTAGTGTGTGCATTTGGTTTTATTTAACCCAAATTTTTCAGATAGGATTTATGGCAGCAGGTTCATAAGTGCAAGTTGCCTGTAAATCAGCCGTTAAATCTGGGACTGTCTATATTAAAATCAAGCCCTTTTGAAACACATCTTTTCATAAAGCAAGCTCTGCGTGGATTGTGTTTTTCATGCAGCGTTTTTCATCCATTAAGTGAACGCTTCAGTGAGCTTTCCGCGCATTTAATATGCATTTCAGAAATAAATGTGCACCCTCTGTAACATGGCCTGTTTTCAGTCTTCGGTGTGTCATTACGGCTCGGAAATGAGTCTTTCAGATCGGAAACCGTGCTCTTGGGCGCGGGCAGTGATTTGCAGTAATCTTTGTAGGCAGTGGCGATAGCCTGGGAGCGAATGAGCACGTAACTGAAGCTGTAGCTTTCGTGCAAACAGCCCATATGTGGCAGGGGAGCCTCCTGCGTGTTCTGGGAAGAGGCCCTGTGAGGTGATGCTGCAGGGGAAGGAAGAGGGGGAGCTGGGGGAGAACGTGCTGCAGGCCATCTGCAGTGCCACACTGGTGGTTTGGCGCTAGCCGAGCGTGTCCGGTGCAGCCCCCAGATTTACCAGTCCTTTTCAATTCTACTTTAATCAGCTGCCGTTTTTACTCGCAGCCAAATTATTTTTGCCCCTCTGTCATTGGAGATGCTGCGTCCTGCTCTGAGCGTGACGCGGGAACGGCTCTCGGTAATCCAGGTCTGAACAACATGGTTACACCAGATGTTCCTGCTAGAGAAGCTTGCAGAACCGAAACTAAAAATTGCAAGTTGAATTAGGACACAATGATTTATTTTATTAATAGTACTTAGAAGAAGCTTTATAGCAGGAAATGCAATATGCACTTCTAATAACTTCTGTGGTCTAACATGTAGAATCGTTGGTTTTAATTGGGCCTTTGGTAGCTGCAGAATAGCTGCTGTTATCTCACAGAACATGCCTTCCTCCTCCCTCAGGACCACCTGGTCTGCTTCCTGCCCGGAACGCTGGCTCTCGGTGCCCACAACGGTCTGCCCAAGGAGCACATGGAGCTGGCCAAGCAGCTGATGGAAACCTGCTACCAGATGTACGCCCAGATGGAGACAGGCCTGAGCCCTGAGATCGTCCACTTCAACATGCCGCCCTACGAAGGCCAGGACGTCGACGTGAAGGTGACGGGAGACTCGGCTCGGCGGCAGGGCCGCCTTTACATGCAGGCTGTGTCTTAGGTTGCCCGCTCACCATCTGTTCCCCCCCCCCCACAGCCCGCAGACAGACACAACCTCCTACGACCAGAGACGGTGGAGAGCCTCTTCTACCTCTACAGGTTCACCCAGGATAAGAAGTACCAGAACTGGGGCTGGGAGATCTTCAAGAACTTTAACAAGTACACCAGGGTGAGCAGACAGAAGGGGCCCCTTCCAGCAGACACCCCCCCACACACACACTGACAGCTTTAACTTGCATTGAAGTAATATTTTCTTAAATTGCCTTCAGATATAACAACATGATTGAATTTACAGCAGTTCCTGATAGTGTTGATATATTTGGTAATTATGAGGAGAAACAAAATAGTCTTTATTTGCTAAACCTTCTTCGTCAGGCCTGGGCAGGTCTGTGTACTCCTGTTACCAAGGTGAATATGTTAGTCCCGTTAAAAGGATCTTGAGAGCACTTTGCATATTAGTGTGTGTCTGAGCACTTTGATATTATCATACCCCAGCTAATAACTCTCCTCTGCCCTCCAGGTCTCCTCTGGGGGCTTTACCTCCATTAACAACGTGCGAGATCCTCAGTACCCTAACCCCAGAGACAAGATGGAGAGCTTCTTCCTGGGCGAGACGCTCAAGTACTTCTACCTGCTTTTCTCAGACGACCCAAATCTGATCAGCCTGGACAAGTACGTTTTTAACACGGAGGCACACCCCCTGCCTATCTGGCCGTCCGCGGCGTGAGCGATGCAGACACATCGCATGCCTCAGGGTTTGGGTTCTGAGAAGTGTTCTCAGAAGTTCTTTATGAAGACCTTAACACTTTGCTGATGGTCAACATGAAAGCCTGTGTTTAGAATCCAGATTTTTATAATGGACAACAGTGTCAGAATTATACACAGGTTATTACAGCATGTCAAGGGCTTAGGGAGGGGGCGGGTAATATATTTTTAATATGTGTTCTGCGAATAACCTATAAAACAAAAAATGTCTGGTGGAGTTATATTGCAGTGTAGCTCTGATCAGCAATGTGGTAAATTGGCCAGTAATGATTCTGTGTGATGAAAAGCTGCAATTTTTATTTTTTTTTGTGATGGGGATACAGAGGATGAATAGAATGGGGGGTTAAAAATGGAAAAACAAGAAAAGCTGATATCTGAGCCAGGGTATAAGTGACCCCATGGATAAATACTGCCATGTTGACTCTCGAGTACACAGCCCCTTCCAGTCTGATTCCAAAGTGAATGATGCATTTTTATATATATTTTTAAAATATATAATAAATTTAAATCCTTCCACAATCCCTTCTGTCATTCCTAGAACCATTATTATAATAAGTTATATATGGATGTTTGCAATGATATTTGAAGTTTATTTGTTAGTAGGGATGCACAGGTATTCATAGTAGTATCAGTATCGTATCTGATACCATGCTCATGTCGTCATGACAACGTGCCGATGCCTTTAACTGATACCACATAATGACATATCAGCGATCCATTGTTTTCCACAGAGACTAAAAAACTGACGATCAGCCCCCCTCTCCACCCCCTGGGTGGCAAGTCTTAACACGGGCTGTTTACTGGATTGTCTGCATATTGTTTTGTTCAGGCTTTAGCAAAAAACAAAAATGAAGTGCCCCACATGGTTTTGTGGTGGGGGGGGGATTTCAATATTATTGTTTATCCTAATATTTTTATGTTAAAATGACGCATATTTTATTGACATCGCACAGCCCTAATTGGTATTGGTATGGGCGACTACCAGAAAGCGAGTATCAGTACTCATACTCGGTCAAACAAATTGGTATCAGTGCATCCCTACTTGTTACTATGTCAGTATGAAGGCTTGTACTGCATCAGGGACCACAGTGTGGTGACGACAAGATGCAGAACTCAGTTTTGTTGTGTTGACAGTTATTAACGTTGTTGATTTTCTTTGTGTGTGGTTAAGTGGATGCGGGGGGGGCACTTTCTTTTTGCAGAGACCTGTTGTGACTTGAGAGGGTCTGTGGTGCATTTAGGGAGATACTTGTGACTGGTATTTAATTAGAAAGAGGCCTGCAGGACAGCAAGGCAGACAGCTCTGTGAATGGACTGCAGGGAAACTCTAGAATGGAGGGGAAATGTAGGGGATGTACCTAAATGTGATCTCAGCCATTGTTCCTGTACATATATACATATTTTAATTGTACAGATGATTGACGGGGTATGTTTTATGGTCTTCTGGGATTTTTTTTTTTTTCGCTCTAGCAATTGACACTGTTAGTGTAGCCAAAGTAGTTGACTGAGTCTGTTTATTTGTGCATTATTTTCTTTAGAGGAATCAGTACCAGAGGGCAGAAAACTGCTGGTTGTTCAGGTTATGGTGACGTACGGAGTGCCAATGGCGAGTTTTCAGTAGCACAGAGGAGGCCATGAGCTTTTAGCGCAGAATCGTGTCCGCTGCCTCGTGCCGCATGTGTACCGCACATGATCCTTTATTTTCCCGATCTTAGTTGGCTGTGTTTGAGGTAATAGTGGCTTTATAGTGTGGTTTTGTCACGGCGAGAGAACTGCACATTCATGTTCCCGTAGGACACTTTATCGTTTGACCTTTTTTTTAAATAAAAAAAAAAGCTTTTGATGTAGGAAGACTTACAAACAGTTAGTCTTCTTTCTTAGGTGTGATATTTTGATTTGTGCTCAAGTTGTGATTGTTGCGTGCAAGTGAAAATTCCACTTAATGCTTTTTATCAGCCACTCGGATGGGTCGTTATGTAAGTAGCAAGGATGAAGAATTTGCTTTTGCAAATAAGTGCTGAGGTTATTGATTATCAAGGAACAGAGCCATACTGGTTCTTGGTAGCCGAGAGCAATATTATAGAGTGGTCGTCTGCAGTAACTGGTCTTACTGCGTTGTTAGTGGAGTTTCACTCTGATCTGTGCCTTTGAATCAGTGGTATGTACAGTGTCCCTGTATGCAGGCTGCTTGGCTGTGACTCTGTTTTCCTGCCAGTGCATATAGTTTGGATCTATATTTTGGTTTATATGTACATGATTGTTTCTTTTTTCTCTTGTTAAAATATTTGGAGCAGGACTATATTTGTATTATAGCTTAATTTCCATGGTTGAATGCTTGGAATAATGTCTGAAATTCACAAGACATTGACTCGTTTGTCGTTGACATTTCTTCCTCGATTTAAATCAAGATCAGCTTTGAAAAAGCTACAGGGATTTAACAGTTTACTCTAAATGTGCCCGTACAAGTCACTGGAATTTCATATGAAATGACTTTGCACTAATTACAGTTCCTGAAGTATCACCTCTTCTGTACAGGGTTACTGATATCAAGTCATCAGTGATACCGGCAATGTATCCATGCTTTTGTATTTTTTTAATAAATGCATGGGATTAAAAGAATTTGTTTAAATGTTTAAAACAATATGATCCCTAACAATGACCAGAATTTTAAATTTACTCCAAAAACCAAAGACATTCCTGATGCTTTCCAAAGACGACTCATGTTCAACCTGCATGTCGTGAAATTGACCTTAACAAATAGCAGTGGTCAGTAGACCATATAGAAACTTCATTCAGCGTTGCCCCAGATGTCATGTCCACCCAATATCAGTCCACTGACAAACTGATCAAGTTCTCTGCATTGCCCTGCATACAACAAAGCTCACTGTAATCCATACCAGACTTCCATCCCTGAACTTTTTATCTGTACATAGGCAAAGGTTTTGTGAACCGAGAATCAAAAATCAAAACTTTTTTGAAAAAGACTATTGATTTTATTGCATTTGTACAAATGTTGGCATTAAATTTTTACGAAAGGTTAATAAAATTGTAGTTCATAAATTTCAATGTATACACCTGTGTGTTGTCATTTCGAGGTACATTTTCAGAGTGTTTAATTTTCCTCCATTTTCACCCAATGGGCAATTATTTCAGACTCCTTCCTGCGGGCCTCAGTCACTGATAAGGGATCAGCTGGATTCGACCCTCTACAAAAGAAAGGACAAAACCAACTGAACGCTTATGTAGACCATTGCAATGCATACGCCTCACAATAGGTGCTCGTTCAAGCTTGAGAAGGAGTGTGTAATTTTTTCCAAAGTTGATTAATTACATTTTCAGTACAATCAAAAATGACTAATTAGCTTAAATGTTTAAGGCTTCAGTTCTGCACCTTTAGCTTATTCTTCACGTTATACACTGATACAGCTATACTGACTCCTACCTTAAATCTAAATGGTGTGCCCCTTCAGGGATGTTGACTGCAATGAGTGACGGGCTCAGCGACTTTTGTACCTAAAACAAAATCACATACTAATTCCACCTTCTGTTCCTATTATAAATCACTTCATTTCAGTCATTTCACTAATTTAATAAGTCTGCCTTTATAATAAAAGTTATGTTTCTAGAAGTTTTGCAGTTTTCTGTGGCATTCCAGCCCAGGCAATCTTACCTTCAAAAGTCTAAAAAAAAAAACAAACCAAACTCTTACCCCTCCATTTGCCCATGGATCAAGGTTGCCATTGGAGAAAATGATATTGCTGGCTGTGGAAAGATCTGCAAAGAGTATCACAGAAGCACTGTAATTCAAAGACCGCATAAGGTTCTTTCAAAGCACTGCTCCAGAAGTGAAGAGCCGATCCGACCATAACTCTCACCGTCCCCCCAGAACTGGGCTCTCAGCCAGCCTGGCCGCGGCACCACGCTCCACTTCTTTGTGCAGTAACTCTCCCGGTCTTGCTCTGTGAAGAGCAGCGGCGGGAACATGTCCGTGACGTTGTTGCTCTCAAAGCACAACTCGATCTCCGTGCAGGCCTTCAAAACAAACCAGGAAAGTTCACTTCTCTCTAGCAAACTGTTATGCATTTATAAAGCATTGTGGCATATATAACGGTCAAAAAGTGAACATGGCTCATCTGGAAGAACTTGCCTGGTAGTCCCAGGCGAGACTGTTAGGTCCAAGGCCACAACCGGTGGGATCAGCACACTCTACGTAAGCTCTGTAGATGTCATAACACTGGAGCTCACCTGTGGAGTTGTACACTATACCTGTGAAAGAATCATTCAAATCGGTCAGTAGAAGCAAAGTGAGAATTAATCACCTGCTAAGCAACCAGTGACACCCTAAATGTTTGAGCTGATTGCTCATGGGAGTTTTATATACACAAAAGTACTCTGATGGCAGAATGAAAAATGACTGGTTATCTCTCTGAATCAATCAGATTGTTGAGGAGTTGGGTCCAAGTAACTAGAGGAGGCAGGATCGACCAATCAGATGTCTTGGTCCCGCCTGTACAATCTAATTGGTTCTCTCTTTGAACCAATTATTTTCCATTCTGCCTTCAAAATATTTTGGTATCAGTAAAACTCCCATGACCCAACTGATTCCCATTTGGATTTAGAACATCCACATTGTGATTCTACACATATGGATTATACAGAAAAATCAAATCCCTTTTTGTTTTACTCGGTAGTTTGTTTTAATGTGAGATAATGTCAAATTTCTTCATCACAAATAAACAATAGAACCAGAAGCTTTGCAGAAAGAATTAGCATTATATATAACATGCTACATCTTTAAGAAATACTTGACAGCCAAATTAATTTTGACCCTGTAATGTTATGTATTCAACAGGAACAGGAAAACACAAAACAATGGAAATATTAAACAAAAGAAAATGGAAAAATAACCTCTCTAGTATCTGTGAGGTTTGTTTCAGTGTTTCAACAATTCTGGGGCCCTCCACAAAGATAAGGCTTCTGAAGCCAAGGAAACCTTCCAGTGTTTTTCCAGAAGAGTCTGTTTTGGCTTAGACCTAACAAACCTGATGGCGCCATTTGAAAAACAGCGAGTCAGTCCATATCGAAGGTCACAAAGTGCAGAAGACAGACCACAAGTAAGGGAGAAATGCACGGTGCGGACCATGTAAAGCTAGTGTAACAGCATGCTGGTAGGAATATGTGATCAAACATTACTGACGATAGCGACATCAGCATCCCAATCCCGCTTAAAAATTAACATAAATCACATAATTTACATAAAAACAATTCTCTGAGCCAACAGATATGACAGTGATATAAAGGTCCTCGTGACCACAGGCACAAGGCAGGATGAGCTCAGAATGAATTATACGGAATCTGTGTGGGTGCGTTTATGTCCTGTTACACTCCATATTAGCCTAAACTATAGGATTCGCACCTCCACGCAAAGTGCAAATCGCTGGCTCTCAGAGGCACACCAGGGAGACCAGCCTGAACTTGCATCCAGAGAAAATACTTTTCGAATGGATCAAAAAAAGTATTCAATAACTCCCAGCGGTTTGACAAGCTTCCAGCTTCCATTAGAACACAATTCAGATTTATTTACTCAGCTAAATGCAATATTAATAATGCTAAGTACTTCAGTTTTTACTATGCTTGATACTTCTAATGTTAAAAATCTTATAACTATAATTGTACAACAATCTAATTTGGCTATAGTCAAAGCAGCATAAGCAGCTCAGTTTAATGCTACACATTTACATAGCAAAAATTCACAAGTCGGATTTCAGTTCAGCAGTCATTTTACAGTAATATTAGTGCTTACTTGAGTTGGCACTTGCATATCTAGGTTACCGGTCCATGTACATTCTCTTGGACCTGGCACAAACTATATCCTGTAGTGAGACTATATTAAACAACAACCTCCACCCTTGCTCCAATCTCCAGTCTCCAAGGTTAGGCTTTCTTCCTTCCAGCCCCGGAAGCCAGCCCTGACGTGCATCACTCTATCCAAAGGAGTCGGCCTTCCCTCTCATCACTGTACAGTGACACCTACTGTCCACTGGGCATCTAGGCAGCTGAGCTAATGTCATTTTCCTCCGATTATTTCCTCTCACTCTATACGAATAGGGGCTAACAGCCCACCTACTGGAGGTGTGTGATAGTTGCCATGGTCACTCAGATAAGGGGTACCTTCGAGCTCGTGGGAGTTTTACTTACACAATAACGTTCTGAGGGCAGAATGGAAAATAATTGGTTCAGAGAGATAACCAATCAGGTTGTAGAGGAGGTGGGTCCAAGCAACTAGAGAGGCGGGACCAAGACATCTGATTAGTCGATAATGTCTCCTTGAGTTGCTTAGACCCACCTCCTCTACAATCTGATTGGTTATCTCTCTGAACCAATCATTTTTTGTTCTGCCCTCAGAACATTTTTGTGTAAGTAAAGCTCCCACAAGCGTTACGCTTAGAGCCAATATGGGCTGCTACAGCCTTGGGGAGAAATCAGTAGAAGTCAGGTCCACCACCTACAGCCACAGTCAACCACCCGGGGACCATCAACCTGGGATTCTTGACATTGCAGGCAACACAGGCCACCTTCTACAAACCTTTAGCACACTATCAACCGATGCCTTGTTTTACAGCAATACAGTGTTAACAGAGGCACAATGCTCCAAGTACCGTAGAACATCCTCAAAAAAATAGAGGAAGAGCCCTTACATTTCACCCTGACACTTTCCTTCTCCAAGGGGAATCCTGACTTTTTGCAGCCCAAAGCAGCTGCTCCTATGAAAAAGTGCTGAAAACCTTTACATCTCCCTGCCCTGCTTGAGACGCCAGATAGCAGCAGAACCCTGATTCTCCCTCAGTGTCATCACAGCACGGCTGCATAGTAAGAGAAACAGTAACCGTAACCCTAAAACCTACTAAAGGTCTCAAGGGGCCAGCTGACCACTTTTTTTCCCCTCATTATGTTTTAACTGAAACACGCTTCATTTAGCTGGCATATTTAGAACTGGGACACCGCTCTTCGTTAACCTGGATACCTTTAGAACAAGGCTTCAGAGAAATAAACTGCTATACGCGTTATATAAAAATATTCAATACTAAATAAATACTCTCTGGAATGGTCTATTCTGTGCAAAAGTCATACATAAAGTCATGCTACTCTCCAACTAGCATCATATTTTAAGTATACTGCTCAGTGATACTTTACAAGCAATGTGTAGTGGAGTAATACCTAAGCTGTTTTAGGTGCGGTCTCAGAGGAGATCGCTGATAAGGTATCCAATTTAAGACACAGGAACGGGTTCAGATTAGCAAAAAGGACTTTGACAGCCCAGCAGCTGAGCAAGGGACTACAGTCAAAGCCCCACCCCCAGTAAAATGCTCTGCATGACCAGCAGGAGGCGACCTGCAAGTGGACACAACATCTGCCGCTTGTCCACCACTGTCCCTATGCCTTCAAACTATCAAGACAAACAGTGTGGATGCTAAAGCACATGCTCTCTCACCTCTTTATACTGGGGGGGGGGGGGGGGCATTTTACACGACTCCCAAACCTCATCCCCCATCCCTAGTATTTGTTTTGTTAAAACGCACATCACTTACCCACAGTTTCTCTTAGGGCAGACAGTAAATTCGGTCCATTTAGCATAGTATCACAGGCCACCTAGAGAAACAGAGGAGAGCATTTACAGGTAAGGGGCTCACAGAGTTCGGCGTCGTTCAACCAACACAACTCCCGCCACTTCTTCCGCACTACCTTCACTGGGTTAGCTGGCATTCGGCCCATGAAATGGGTGCTGTAGGGGTAGTCAAGCATAGCCATGACCGTAAAGGCGTTACGCAGGAGCCCCTTAAGCTGATGAATGTCTTGCCTGGATTCTGGGGTATTGCAGAGATTAAAAGATGACTGGATACGTCTATAATCTGCAAAGAAAGAGGACTTCATTGTAGAATACGAAGCTGAGGTATTGAGTTACAGGAACCCTGGCAGAAAACACCCCGTGTATTTAAAGAAGGCTTAAAGTGCTATAATGCAGCTATAATGAAGATTACCTTCATGGTGAGCGAGGCCCTCGAGCTGGGAAAAGGCTCCCCTAACTGCAACACTGCAGGAGGGATTGTAGCTTTCAAAGTCCTAAATCGAAGGAGGACTGTGTTATGCTGATTACTGGGCTGGACGTATTAAAGAACTTCACATTACAAAGACCTTCCCCAGTAATGAGAACTTACTGCAGTCACATCCTGGAAGAACTGCCTTGGATCCCCCATTCCAGCTGTAGATAAGATGGGGGCACTGGCAGCCAGAGCTCCCGTTACTATATTTGGGTACCTCAGTCTCATGTAGACACTCAGCATACCTCCATAACTGATGGGGAAACAGGAAACAAATGCATCTTACTCATTCATCTTACTCGCCAAGTAAAACTGACTAAAATGACAACATTCAGCTCCCAAAACAAGTTGCCGTACCTTCCACCGAAAACAATGACGGGGCATATTGTGGCGCCAAGTTCCCTTTTGAGCTCTGTGATCATAATAGCATAGTCTGCCAGCGCCTGTTCCACAGTCAGCAGCCCGATCTCCGGGATTTTGAAAGAATTGTTGCCAAAGGGGAGCGACTTGCCATAATATCTCTGCAGGACGAGACAGCAGATCGCGGTGTTATGCTACAGTGTTTCATTAAACTGCAGCAAGTCGTATAGCATTACCTTCCATAACAAGAAACTTAAGTAGAGGGAAGAAAGATGCATGTTTGGATTCAGATTTCATGGCCTGCACTGCACATTAAAGAGACATTGCACCCATCATCTATGTTCATTTTTAACCCAGACTCCCCATATGACAGGACGTCACGAGTTGTAGTAATTAAGTGTCCCATCGCATGACCTTACATGCTCAGCAAATATCACCAATGCATCCTGCTGTGCTGCCAGTTCAGTTATAAATCCAGAATTCATAGCAAAATCCCAAATGTCTCCCTCGTTTCCAGTGTAGAAAAAAATAGGTCCGACGCCTTTCTTCCAGAACTGATCTAAAGAAACAAAAACCGCAATATTACTCGAAGAACCGCAAAATCAGCAATATTTTGTGCCAGCTCAAACTACATATCTGAAAAAAAGAAAAATGCGCATTTCTTTCAGGGCAGGCAATTAACAACAGACGCTGTCAAAGGTCCGAAGACGTTTCTGTGCCCCAGCTCTGCTTCTGGGATGAATTTTGATATAACACATTGTGGAATCAAGGCATGACAATCCAAAAATAATACGATTTACCTGTAATTAAATATCTCTGGTCGTAGGTGCCGTTGCCCATACTGTTAAAGTTGAAGTGATCTATCATTTGAGAGAAATATTTCTCTTTGAATTGGGGTGTCGGAGGGTCGCTATTGCTCTTCCAACGAGCCTGTAAATAATAGAAAGTTAAACTCGTGCTATGGGCAACTACAGTCTGCATACGTAAAGGTTTTTCCAAGTTATCAAACAAGTCTTTATTTTGGTAATACTTAACTATATAACCAATAAGCTATAGGTTAGATATAGGTCGTGTTTTTATCTAAAGTAAAGCTAATATAAACAGAATAAAACAAGAGTGATTTATTTTTGGTCGAATTAAATTGTGCACAACAATACTTGAGGGATACAATATCACGTACAACACAACTAATTATTTAACTACTGACGACAAGCTTCCTTACCTTTTTGATTAACCTTTCTGCTGATACATCTCTGCCTTTTTCGGGTTCGCTTAGTTTCATTCCAAAATTATCTTTTTCAAAGGAACTGATCTGAAACCCACTGCGTGGAAGTCCATGGCTTATATCTAAACTAAAAATTAATACGCAAAAGATCAAAAGCAGCCGGGCAGACATGTCAAACATCAGTGCAGAACTTCCCCAGTAGGTCATGTGAGAAGTCGGCATGTGACAATGATCGTCTGTATACAATTTGGCGTGACGTTTTACCATGCGACGCTCGTGTTTACAATACACGGATGCTGTCGCGTCATTTTTGCGTGGCGATGCTTTTACATTCTGTCGTCCTAAGTTATCAGGAGCTGCATTTTCTCAATGCTGTTCTATCAGCGTTACCTTTCACTGCAGGATCAAGTCAACCGTGGATTTGAGTCGCGCATGCGCTACCGATAAGAGTCAACCATTTACGTATTGAACTGTTCTTCGAGTAATAATTAAAGTTCTTCAGATCATTTTCTAAACGTGCTCCCTTACCAGTTGTGAACAGTTAAGACCCATCTCATGTATTTGCATACATGTTTATTAAATGGATGATTACTTTTAAATCGTCTGCATTGACACTGGCAAAGCCCCTCTGGGAAATGGACATGTATGTTTTTTCATATTTAGCTTCCTTCTACTTAGTCTTCAGTTTTTGTTATTTTTAGTTGATTTGTATCTGGCTTTCATTGCTGGCGCCTGCGCAACTCAGATTCATGGTTGACTCAGATCCGGTGCTGTCATGGGCTGTGTCCCACTTCAGGTGCTGCGTCCTTTGAAGGCTGCATTCAAAGACTGAATTCATCACAGCAGTGTGACAAGGCTGTCCCATTTCGAAAGGTCCTTCAAATGCAGCCTAGAAATGTGTCCTTTTGCCAAGTTGTGAAGGATCCTCCCCATGGATCGTTTGCAGCCTAACATATTCCAAGATTCATTGCGCAGAAGTAAAGTGGGGGTGTCCCGGCTAGGCGATAGGAGCAGCACTTCATGACTCACGGGTAAATCCGGGAACAGCTGGTGCTGCAAATAGGAAATTATCTGTAGGTCAGACCATCGTATTCGAAGGATGCAGCCCCAGAATTCAGATACAACCATTGACAGCTCTCACGCATCTGGCGTGACACTCACACTTTCAGACTCTCACGCTCACGCAAGAAATCTTGCAGCAAATCTATATTATTTCATTATAACCTTAAAATTAGCTACATCAAAAACACAGAGGTAGTTTAAAACCCTACAGACTATTTTAGGTAATAAAACTGTTACATATGCGTGTGCGTGTGCAGCAGGGTTGGGGCCATTCCGGAATGCATTCATCAATTCCAGTCCAAATCAGGAAATGGAACTGGAGTTGGGATTGGAAAAAAAACTATGGAGAGCAGAATTGGAATTGAATTCGAATTTCAGGGAGATTTAAATCCCAACTCCAGTTCCATTTCCTGATTTAGACTGGAATTGATGAATGCATTCCGGAATGGCCCCAACCCTGGTGTGCAGACTGGTAGAATTGAAAATCTTACATTAGCCAGCTGACCAAAGGTGGCAACTCTGTATTATTGTCAGTTTGCACATGCCATATCAATACCACACTGCTATATCTCATTATTTGTTTATTAACATGTCTGTTTTCTCTTTTAATGCTTTGAGATTTGCCTTTCCCCCCATGCAACTGTGATCTGAAAACTTCATTGTGTTTCCCAAATACATGTCAGATTAATTCACAAAGCTTGAAAAACTTTAAGTGTTGTTATGATTGGTAACCAATAATCTGTGTCCTAGTGCTGCTGTTGTTGTTATAACTTCTTATTAAAAAGTGTCAATATTTGCGTGGTAACTGCACACCTGTTAGTTAAACCCAGGGCTGGATTGACCATATGACATTTTCCTAGCGATCCCTGTTTAAACCATTAACGTTGGACTTTAAACGTATAATAGGTGAATCTCTAACGGGAATATATGGACTTTAAGAATCATTTTTATGATCAGTTATTCACATGCAGTGAGACCATGGCCTACTTCTGTGCATTCTGAAAATGGAGAAGACAAAGTTCAGATTTGTCACAAAGTTTGTCGCTTCAGTGTTTGTAGATCTTTTGTCAGATGTTTCTATGGTATATTGAAGTATAATTACAAGCATTTCATAAGTGTCAAAGGCTTTTATTGACAACTACATTAAGTTTATGCAAAGAGTCAATAATTGCAGTGTTGCCCTTCTCTTTCAAGACCTCTGCAATTTGCCCTGTCTGCTGTCAGTCAATATCTGGGCCAAATCCTGACTTAAGGCAGCCAATTCTTGCATATAATCAATGCTTGGAGTTTGTCAGAATTTGTGGGTTTTTGTTTGTCTACCCGCATCTTGAGGATTGAGCATAAGTTCTCAATGGGATTAAGGTCTGGGGAGTTTCCTGGCCATGGACCCAAAATGTCAATGTTTTGTTCCCTGAGCCACTTAGTTATCACTTTGGCCTTATGGCACGGTGCTCCATCATGCTGGAAAAGGCATTGTTCGTCACCAAACTGTTCTTGGATGGTTGGGAGAAGTTGCTCTCGGAGGATGTTTTGGTACCATTCTTTATTCATGCCCGTGTTCTTAGGCAAAATTGTGAGTGAGCCCACTCCCTTGCCTGAGAAGCAGCCCCACACATGAAGGGTCTCAGGATACGTTACTGTTGGCATGACACAGGACTGACGGTAGCTCTCACCTTTTCTTCTCCAGATAATCTTTTTTCCGGATGCCCCAAATAATTGTAAAGGGGATTCATCAGAGAAAATGACTTTACCCCAGTCCTCAGCAGTGCAATCCCTGTACCTTTTGCAGAATATCAGTCTGTCCCTGATGTTTATCTTGCAGAGAACTGGCTTCTTTGCTGCCCTTCTTGACATCAGGCCATCCTCCAAAAGTCTTCGCCTCACTGTGCATGCAGATGCACTCACACCTGCCTAGCAGCTATATCCTTGCCTATGAAGCCCTTTTGTCCAAAGCAATGATGGCTGCACGTGTTTCCTTGCAGGTAACCATGGTTAACAGTGAAAGAACAATGATTTCAAGCACCACCCTCCTTCTAAAGCATCCAGTCTGCTATGCTAACTCAATCAGCATGACAGAGTGATCTTTAGCCTTGTCCTCATCAACACTCTCACCTGTGTTAACAAGAGAATCACTAAAATGATGTCTGCATGTCCTTTGTGGCAGGACTGAAATGCATTTTTGGGATTAAATTCATTTTCATGGCAAAGAGGGACTTTGCAATTAATTGCAACTCATCTGATCACTCTTCATAACATTCTGGAGTATATGCAAATTGGCATCATAAAAACTGAGGCAGCAGACTTTGTGACAATTAATATTTGTATCATTCTCAAAACCATGGCTACTGTATATTAAAAGAGCTGATATATCTTACATTTTATTAATCTTTTAACAATACTAACTAAATAAGTTACTAAATCATAAAAATTGCATTTTAAGTTGCATTATTATTTTCTGGACCAAAGAACGTACATTATGTACCTTTTACCAGGATGGATGCATCCAAGGAGATTGTCAAAAAGAATTGATAAAATGACTCAGGTACACAGCATGTTTGTGGTATTAAGAAGCTTGTAGGAGGGATTCTTCACCATGTTTGGTGAAAAGAAAGTAAGATGGAATCTCTGTACCTGCATCCTCATTTTTAGCAGTTCAAACTTGCAGCAGTTTTCATATAATCTTTTGTTTCTGCTCAAATATGCAAGATCTTTCCAGTTAGTTTTTTTCTGGTTATCGGTTGACAGCCCTAGTCATTGTAGTAGAGAAAACCCCAGTTCTGGTGAAGCCACATTCCTGGACATATGAAGTTCATATTTCAATCTTTTTTAGCTGCAAAGTGCTTTGTGGAAGTGCATTTCAGACAAAAGCAATACAGATGAAGTGTGACGTAAGCCTCTGGATTTGTTTGTTCGTTCAGCTCTCCCTCCATGAGTCATTGTGCTTTTTTCCTTGTTGGCACTTCCTATTGAATCGGCTCCTGTCTCCTGGTGCCAGACCAGTCGTGCTTGTTCCCACCCCCTTCTTTCAGGAATGTGAAAGGGACTTCCTGGTACCTCGCTATCTGTGGAAGTCGCTGCCTTCACCAGCTCATGTCCACCTGGCTGAGGATCACCAAGCACCGCTTTTGCTGCGCAGAAATATCTCCACTTTGTTTTTTGCACTTCAGCAGCTGTTAGGGCGGTTTTACCAGACAACTTGAAGGTAAATAAACAGGAATAATCATGCTTTTCATAAACAGAATAGACTGTAACTGTAATATGAATACTTGTCTAGAGGTGTGTTTGGCAAATAGAAATGTTTTCAATTCAGCATATGGAGCTTGTTAACTTCTGCTGAACGGGACTGAAAAACATTTTAATTTGAAACAAAAATGTAGCTGCATTTTCTCCTTTATTTGAAATTTATTTTTCTTAGTATATTTATTTCAGTTTTGTCTGAAATAGCAGCGTGTAAAGCGGCTTTTTCAGGAAGCAGAGGTCACAGTGCCAGGTTTTTGTTTTCATTTGTGGAGGTGCAGGGATAGGACAGGCAAGGCAGGCAACTGCCTGCCCCCCCCCCCGAGCTGAGAGGGGGGGCCCTGAACTGAGAGGGGACCCTTGAGCTGAGAGGGGGGCCCCCAAGCTGGGCCGATTGCATAGAACATTGCAACAAGAAATCCGCTGTATTTGTGTATTTTCACAGTAAAGTGAAAATAAAGGAATTGTTAAATCCTCATTGTTAATATTATTAATTTAGACTTCATGCTAAAATAATGGTCATAAATTTTACCATGTTGGGCGGGGTGCGTTGGGGCCCATGGAGTTTTTTGCCTAGGGCCCCCAATGTCCCCCGAATTGCCTCTGCTCACACGCATCCCCTCTCCTGCCTTCAGAGGACCATGCTCTACACGGAGCTGCTGCAGTTGTGGGACCAGGCGGTGCAGGCCGTGGATGGACGGGACTGGCAGGGTGCGCTTACCAAGCTGCAGGAGATCACGGAGCCCACGTCCCGCACGCTCTTTTTGACTGCAGCCGCATATCTGGCCCTGGGCCAACTGGAACCTGCTATCAAGGTGAGGAGGGGGCAGGGTCCGGACACAACTGGGGGGCAGGTGACCCTACTACATACAGCTCTGTAAAAAATTAAGAGACTGCTCAATGTTTTTTTTATTATTATTATTTTTTTAAATGTGCATTTTTAAATCCCAGTTTAATCCTGGTTCTGCTGGGAGAGGCTA